AACTGTTACGACGGTCCAGAAGCACATTTAGATTAGTTCAGTTAAGCTCAGTTTGAGTAATAGATAAGGAATAGGAAATCACTTTGCCCCCACCCAGCTAGGTTTCTCTTTCTTCTCACTTTGATTTAGTTTATTATTTCCATGCCAAATATATTTGTATGTATATTTGTCTGTAACGCATGCTGTGTGTCTAAATAGTGATGCCTTAGTTTTTGTCGTTGTTTGTGTAGTTGCAGCCTTCTCTGATTTGTGTGCGAGCTCTTTGATGTGTTTATGCCTGCTTGAGTGTCTGGACATGTTGGAGTGAGTGAGAGAGTGGAGCCGTGTCTGCTGGTGAAAGCCGTTGTTGCCGTCTGTTGGTCGTTGAAGACGTGAAGAGGATTTTCGGGACTGTTCCTGCCTGGTGTGCAGATCAACGCCGGCTGAGAGTCGCTAGCTAGCTAGAGCTAAGCTAGCTAGCCTTCGTCGCACCACTTTACTGTGGACTACAAACTCTGTAGCCTGCTCCTTCGACGGACAGACAGACGGTCGCTGCACGAGCTCCAACCCCTGGGCATCTGGTACCATAGCATAGGATTAGCATAGGGACTTAGCCTAGTTAGCTTAGGCTATTTAGTATAGGGTTTAGTTAGGATAATATTGTGTATTGTATTTCATGTGTGTCTATTGATCTAGCTTCTAATTAAAGGTACAGTTTGTTATTTCTTTATCCCTGTGTCCCTCCCCCAGTTCTTTAGTAGACTGTCCACCTTTCCAAATTACATATAATATTATACATAGAGGTATGCCGGTGGCTTTACATCGCCGTTTCTAATTGGTTTGTAGGTTTAGCAGTCATAATATTTAGTTTAGTGAGTCAAAGTAAGTGTACAGTCCTTTCAGTTTAATTTAATTTCGTTATTGTAGTGTGAACTGTAACACCAACCCTCTGTTGTTTGTATAACCTACATCCCGATCGTACAGTAACAAATTGTTTTCCAAAACTTGCCGAGGTTGCTGACTTCGCAAGGTGTTCCGGGAAATTTCATCTTCCACTTCATTGAAAGTGTGGGTCAGGGTTCCCTTGGAATCTAGGGCGGGTTTTAAGTGTTGGAAACCACTTCCACTACCTCAATTCTGTTTTGGGACACCACTAGCCTAAACGTGGACGCGCATAACCAAGTGCAAGTGGGTATTTCTAGGGGAAGTGTGGGTATTGGGAAAGGCCAGTGATGGCCCAACAGACCAACATAAAGCTTTGATGCGAGCATGACTGAAAGAAAAGCCAAATGCTTGCTTGTTCCAGACTCTAACATGTGATGATTTTCTACTTCTTTCTCTTATGTATCATTAATTGCATATTTTTGGACTTTTGGTCTGACAAAACAAGCACTCTGAAGGCATCCTCTTGAGCTCTATGATCCTGCATAGGGCATTTTCCAGTTTCTGCTCTTGTCTACTTTCTTGCCTTGCCCTCAGTTTATCACCCTGACTCATCAGTATTCATGACCTTGTGCGCCAGAGGGCATCTGGTTTTGAACACAATGACGCTTTTGATGATCCAGTCTCGGTCACCTGGTTTCACTCGACTGCATCATATTACTCCGCAGCATACTCATATGCTGTTTCCCCGTCTGGTTTTTCAGATGGACCTTTCTAATTATAGTCGTCTCGTTGTCTCGGGACACAGGTCCTGGCAGGACATCAGGTGATTGAGAGAGCTGCAAAAAGGGACAGTACAACTGGTTTAATGTTGAGGTGGAGCTGAAGGATGATTAAAAAGATGAGAGCAGATTCAGTGTCTTGATCTTGATCAATCAGGAAACATGGCGGTGACTACTCTCTAGATTGAGACCTTTATTCTTCTGAATGATCAATTAAAGGGGAGTTCTACTAATTTTAAACATAAAGGCCAGTTCACTAGTAACGATGAGAGCCAATCAGCCTGTGAAAACATTTGTGTCATGTCTTCATGCTTCTGGAGGAGCTTTGTCAAGTCTGAGAAAATAACCCTTGATTATGTCATAGTGATGTCATTAGGCTGGATATGGGTTTTGGGCTTGACACTTTAAATGTATAACAAAAATCTCAACACAAATTAGAGGTTTAGAGGTTGTAAGATGTGGACACTCACTCGTCAGGAGGGACCTAATAAAAAGATGCTAGTTTGTTGCATTATGGGAAATGTAGGTCAATATAGGGGTCTAAAAATCAGGATGCACTGGCCTCTGCTGCTTCAGCTTTGACCATTTTTCTCTTATGAGTCTCCCCACCTACTTTATCGATGTGCAAACAAAATTGCTGAAGTGCATCTTTGATTGTTTAGTCAATAAAGTGTCAGAAAATTTAAACAAATGCTCATCACAGATTTCTAAAGCCCAAGCTTGTCTTGCAGTTTTCCTTCAACAAAAAGTTAGGTAACAAGCAAGGCACCCAGGGTGCGTTGGCTGTTGACATTCTGGGACGCCATGTCAACTTCTGCCTGTTACATGCATTGTCTTCTTCCAAAATACACTTCTGTTTTCACAGGAAATGCTTGTATACAGTCTCTTTCAAAATAAAAGCACCACGTCAATACAACACCGCAAACTGACTTTTTTTTTCCTTCAATAACAAATGCACGTGGTTACATTTTGCCAACACATGCACGTGGTTGGGTTTAGGAATAAAGAGCAGGGTTTGGCTTTACAATCTTACAGGAAGTGAACACCAGCCTCCCGGGTAAAAGTTGGTGGTTGTTGGACCCATCCACCACCCCTGCCGCCCACCATTAAAATATGGCAACCAGGTGTGTCTCATGCTGATGTGAAAGTACAGTTATTTTAGTCAGTGTGTGATGCTGGAAGTCACTGCCCAAGCTCCAGATTTCAACGACTTTGGAGTGAGACCAGGATGCCTATCTGGAGCCAGTGTCTGGTTTGTGCATCTGTATAATAATAACTAGATACCCGATGCCAAGATGGTGTCTATTCACTCCACTGGAATTGCTCACCTGGCGCGTATGCCAAAAAAAAGCTTCTAGCTTCCAGGTTTAATTTCACGGTATGAAGTCCACTGAATATGCACAGTGTTGCTCATGCTGGGCCTGCCTGTGAGTTTCCGCCCAGCCAACACTTGAGGAAAGATATAAAACCTTCATGAATCAAAAACTCATAATAGAAAGAAACATAATTGACCTTGTCAGCAAAACAAGGTCAACAGTTTTACAGACATCTCTTTTATAATCGTGGTCAATGGAGAAAATGCTTTTCGGCCAGGAGAGATGTTCTCTCTGCAATACAATGAGTGGCCACTGGAAAAATTGGAAGCAAGGCTGAGCAGCGTTCCTGCTGGTTCGGGGGTACTGTAGAACAACATGGCGAACTCAGTGGGCCAGGACCTGCTGCATATGAAGATATAAATGGTTCACTCTGAAGTCACGAAAACCTGGTTCTCATTTTAAGATGATTATGAACTAATGAATACCATCCATCCATCCATCCATCCCTCCATCCACTTTCATTTGCTTATGCGGGGCCTGGTCACGGGGGCAGCAGGACAAGCAAAGCACCCCAGATGTCCCTTTCCCCAGCAACGCTTTCCAGCTCCTCCTGGGGGACCCCAAGGTGTTCCCAGGCCAGATGAGATATGTAATCCCTTCTGCATGTTCTGGGTCTGCCCCGGGGCCTCCTACCAGTGGCGCATCACCTCTAACGGGAGGCGCCCAGGGGGATCCTGATCAGCTGCCCGAACCACCTCAACCGGCCCCTTTCGACCGGAAGGAGCAGGGGCTCTATTCTGAGCTCCCTCCGGATGTCCGAGCTCCTTCCCCTATCTCCAAGGCTGAGCCCAGACACCCCACGGAGGAAACTCATTTCAGCCACTTGTATCCGCAATCTCATTCTTCAGGTCACCACCTAGTGCCCATGACCACAGGTGAGGGGTTGGGAAATCGAAAGCTTTGCCCTCCGGCTCAGCTCCCTCTTCACTGATGAAAACATAGTTATGAATATAATATAGGCTACCATTTTTGCCATTAGATGCTCCTAAATCCTACATACTGGACCTTTAACCAGTAATTAAAATCATCCGCTTTCCTCTAACAATGTTTCAGCAACCTGAGCTGAGCATCTTGAACTTTCTCCTCTTTACATGCCCAGCGCTGTTCGCAGCATGTGAAGACTGACATCAACAGAACACCTTATCACTGTGAGAATAGCAGCTTTCTCAAAGCCCCAGGAGACGCTGATATAAGCAAACAGCTTCAAAGTTATCAAACATACTCCACCAACATTGTATCAAGCACACTGAGGACAGAGGGGTTTGAAACTGTGCGTGTTTGTGTGTGTATCTTGGTACAACATAGTACCAAGTGTTTATATGGTACAGTAGTGGTTTTTAGCTCAATGGGGTCTATTCTCGGAGCTCTTTCATGCTGCCCCCCGCTGTGAAGTGTGTGTGAGTGTGTGTGTGTGAGGAGGATCCATTTTCTCACACTGTCACCTGCTGTGATGCTTCAACTCAGACTGTGCACAAGTCTCAACCTCTGTCCTACAACAACTTTGAGTCCAAAGCGAGGTCGGCTTTCAACTTCCTCTGCAGCTATCACAACATGCAGGCTGGATTATTGACAGAGAGATAGATATTCCAGGTCTTAATATAGACCATAAAAGCTGCAGCGTACATGCATGTAGACTGTCTGATATCACGTATCAGGTGTAGCTATCAGCTGATGCCCTTGGTCTCACGTCAGCTGGTGCACCTTCAGCACTACGCGCTGTTGGAGACGTGATGCGCTCGTCACGTCCAAGCAGCGCACTGCGACTTTGTGACCATTTGACCTTGTCACCGTGTCAGAATCGGCTCTAAACTAAACATCTGCATTAGCTCAGCAGAGAACAGCAACGTGCACTTTGTGGGCATCCCATACACTCCCCCCTCCCCGCCTCCCCCACCGGGCTCAGTATTTTTGGCAGGTGGTGTCAGTAGTCTGAACACCGTCCTTTACTTTCTATCCCGACCCATGACAAGCACACACTTACCCTCATGCAACTGGCATGTGAGCAGCACGTCGCTTCGTAGGCAACAACCTTCATGCATTCATTCTTCTTTTGTCGCGTCTCATTCAGCGATCAACTCAACATTCCGCAGTCATGCAGCTGGCACACAGAGCCGGGCTGCAGGGGGGGCTCTGACTGGTCCGACAAATAGCAGGCCAGCTGGTTACTTTGGGATTTTTACAAATGAACTGACAGATTATGATCCCTTTACAACATGCGTCAGAGTCCGGAGCCAGATACTGGGTCAGAGAGAGTTAATGGCTTTGTAACACCACTTCTACTGCTGAGCTGCTGTAACAGCCTAAGTAAACAAAACAGGGGCGTAGCTATAAGGGTCCTAATACAGGGTGCCACCACCCAATCCTTTATTTATGAATCAAGTATCTTGGATTTATAACCAGTCAGAGCAACTGAGCGTGATTTCACACCTGCCCTGAAGATCCTAAAATGCATCAAATTTAAGTATCTGATACCTTGTATTTCTCTTTTATGAGACATATGAGAGAACTGCTGTATCTCACAATCTTGTATCCCATTTCTCATTCATGTTCCCGGCTAAAATCACTCAGTGAACCATTCTGTATAAATAAGGCAACAGATGACAAGTTAGGAACCACTTGATCCAGTCAGCAGATCTGTAAAGGGGAGTACGTGAGGAAACAACTGTGCTGGAAACCTTCCCACAGCAACAACTGCAACAGCAGCGTCAGTCGTTCCCAATGCTTTTAATAGCAGCGCTGCTCGATGCATGAAATGTCCAGCTTGTGATTTATATATACTGGGATTAGCAATAGAAGGTAAACAATAAGGCAAATGTATCATCTGGCCTTCTTCATGGGTTTCCACAAAACAAACTGTCTGTGAATTTACACCATGGATCTAAAACTTCTCCCACAGGGACGTGATCAGACGAGCTGCAAAACTTAGTGACTAACACTTTCTGGTCTGTACAGGGCAAGATGACCTCTATATATATACTGAACAAAGATTTAAACACGACACTTTTGTTTTTGCTCCCGTTTTTCGCAGGTTTAAGTTAAAGATCTAAGACTTTTTTCATGCACTCATAGATACATTTCTCTATTTTGATTATGGATCATTACAGATATGCTAACTTAATGTCCACTTTACTATCATATGCTGTCCCAAATGTTGTTTCCATTAATTCTGCAGTACATCCAACTGGCCTCACAACTGCAGACCACATGTAAGCAGCTCAAGACCTCCACATCCAGCGTCTTCACCTGCAGGATCATCTGAGACCAGCCACATGATGCACCGAATAATTTCTGTACAAAGTGTCAGAAACTGTCTCAGTGAAGCTCATCTGCACGCTTGTCGTCCTCACCAGGGTCTTGACCTGACAGCAGTTCCTCATCGTAACCAATGACTGGTTAGATGTGCTGCCAAATTCAGAGGAACGAAACTGGAGACAGCTTATGGTAGTGAAATTAATATTCAGTACACAGACAACAGGTGTGGTGGATATTCCTGCTGTCAGCATGCAGAAGGCACGCTCCCTCAAAACCTGGGACATCTGTGGCATCGTGTTGTGTGATCAAACTGCACATTTTTGTGACCATCATTGTGACCATCCCAAGGTACAGCTGTGTAGTAATGATGCTGTTTAACGCTTTGAAACCGGAGCAAACTGGCTTGAGCAATAATAACAGAAATGACCCAAAAACTAGCAAGAAATTAGTAAAAAAAAAAAAAAAAAGTTAAAAACAAACAAGGAAACGACCTTCTGTAACATAATTTTAAAATGTAATAATAAAAAATATTAATATAGTTTTACCCTAGCTTCTTTCTTTTTTTCCACTAGTTTTCTTTTTTAATAATTTTCTAAATCTACCACCAATCTGCCCAAGGTTCAAAGATGTTTGAAAGCAGCACAAGAAAAGTGATGACTTGAGAGACTTGAGAGAAATAAATCTATTAAGTGCATGAAAAAAGTCTTATCTTTGACTTAAACCTACGAAATATAGGAATAAAGTGTTGCATGTAAGTTTTTGTTGCAGTTGTTCTGGTGCGTCAAGAGAATATAGTGTCTCTGATAAAAATCTATAAAAAATGATTATGTAAATAATACAATGTCCTTCTGCACTTATCCAATAAACTCAAAGAATTTAATCAAGTTCATGTTCCTGCACTTTTTCTGACAGTGTCTCCTCTCATCAACTCCCACATTAAACAGATGTGCGTGAAAGAATAAAACAGCAGCAATGCTCAGTTTAACTGACAGCTTATTTCCATTGCCCATGCTTGTTGGTGTGTTTGAGCATATATGCCTCAGTCTCGAGAGGATGTCCACCAGATGTTTGCTGTCCGCCTCCACATCAAAACCAACCCATGAGGATGATCCTGTCAGATCTCCACCCATCTCCTCTGCACCAGAAACTCCTCTGGATCACCTCCATCCACACCTGGGAGTATAATATTTGGATTCCCCTTAAATACTTTGGGCTCCCTTGCAGAGACTTCCCTGGGCAGTACTGTAACTCACTGACCCAGTTATGTAACGGAGGGTCGGAGGAATTCCTGGTGACTGTTGGGTGCCAGAGGAATTCTTCGTAACAGCTCGTGGGAGCAAAATGTCACCTTTCACACACCTTTGCACACGTACACGCAGAAAAACTGCCAACGTAACTCTGCTTCTCATGTGCTCAGCTATGAGACACAGCCTGACCCACATAGAGGAAAATCCCTTAAATTCCCTTGAGTAAGTTTCTCATAATTTATCTTTGCAGAAGATTAACCTCTTGCCCTCTTTTCTCCAGAAAAGGATTTTCCAAATTGCCACAGCCTGAGTCAGATACACACAGAACACACGAGAGCATATACAGCACAGTAGTCTAACATGTAATTTAATCAGTAGTTTAGTCAGCTGATTAGATTTTACTGATTGGATCCCCATTAAGGTGAGACATGAGCTAACATGTGGGTAACTGTTCCCAAGGATCCAGGGGTGTTTGCTGGTGATCCCGTGTCTTTACCGGGGTTGCATAACCAGATTAGGGTAGTTGGTTTTAGGTTTGAGGGTCACTGAGATCTGATTAGCTCTTTAGCTTTACAATCTGGAATCTGAATCGCCTAAAGCAGCTTCCCAAACACACAGATTCCTGAATGAGCTCCTGTTCTGTGTGAGATCGTGAGGCCACCTGGGAGCGATCCAAGTGGAGCTTTTTTTTTTGTTTTAAGTCTTTATGGTCCTTTGATTCATCCAAAAAGTCATGGATGAATGGCTGAAAGCGTGGTGACCGTGTGAATGTGATTTCTGCTTTTCTGTGGAAGTGATAAGTGACCAGCAGGTCGAATAAAACCTTTGAACAACACTGGACCTGCTCGCTGAGGGAATACAGAGTGTGTGGTTTAATGAGTTTAACGAGATAAGACTTTGACTTCTCTTGGCTGCCCTTGAACTGAATTTGCACTGTTAATAACCAACAAATACTTTTTAACAGTTTGGTTTTGTGATTAAATAAATACAGTCAAATGGCAACTAGTGTTTCTTCTTTCTTTTTTCCAAATAATTTAACCTCAAGTAAGAACAAAACTGTAGTAGTTTTGTAAACTCTGAGGAGCCCTCACTCACCTGCTGGTTTAACAAAGGCTGCAGCGCCACCTACTGGTAGACCCTGGTCCTCTCAGACCAGAAACAGGCAAGTAAAAGTATTGATTTATGTTATTTTTCAACAGCTATAACTCATGAGTGGAGTCTGGTTTATAAACAGGTAATGCACAGTTCTAATAATATAAAATGTGTCTTTGTGGGAGGATTGTAAATGTTGACAAATACTAATAAAACTTTCCTCATTCTTCTCTGAGGGTGAGTAAAGAAGGGGAAACCCATGCAATTTCATTTAACTTTAATTTTATTGAATCAAATTTAAAGAGGATGACAGAGGGGGAGTGAGGGCTGGGAGAGAAAGATTTTATTTACTTTTTTGTCTCATTTTTTCCTAAGTTAAATTTGCTTAATCTCTCTGCACCCATGACTCTTCCCCTTTTGGCTGTTCCTCTTGTTCCAACTGCAGCCTTGTTATTTAAGTGCATGTAAACACACCGATTGGGGTGATAGTGCAGGCTGAAGAGCTGGTCCTCACAAACAAAACCATGAAAATGTAGCGTAAAGTAAAAAAATGCACAAACAAAATATATATTTATTGATGAAATATATTATTAATGAAAAATATAGGGCATTAAAATAAAATATCTATTGTAAAGTGCGCATTTATTTCATTTATATTTTGTATATTGTTGCTGTGTATTGTGATTTTTTTCATGACGTATTGTGCCAACAGTTTTGCACTTTTAACAGTGTGGCTCGGATAGTCGCTTTATCCTCTATTTTTATTCCTGTATGTTGTATATTGCCCTTGTAAATCACTTTGTGGTCTATGACTGTGAACAACACTACATGAGTAAATTCAATGTAACTTTTTTTTCACTAAGTGTTGCCCAGACTTCTGGCTAATCTACTAGTGCTATTTTTGTTCCCATTTACACCCATAAGTGGTGAAAGAAGTATTCAGATCTCTTATTTAAGAAAAAGTAGCAATACTATATTGTAAAAATACCCTGATACAATTAAAAGTCCCATATCAGATCTTTGTATATAATGACGAAAACTCTGTGTGTGTGTTTGTCTGTGCATCTGTTCCACGTTTTTCTCCTCACTGACTTGGTCAATCCATGTGAAATTTGGCACAGTGGTAGAGGGTCATGGGAGGATGCCAATGAAGCAATATTACATCAATTGGCCAAAGGGGGGCGCTATAGCAACCGATTGAAATTGCAAACTTTGAATGGGCATATCTCATGCCCCGTATGTCGTAGAGACATGAAACTTTGCACAGAGATGCCTCTCCTCATGAGGAACAAATTTGCCTCAAGAACCCATAACTTCCGCTTATATAGATTTTCCGCCATTTTGAATTTTTTGAAAAACACTTCAAATTGATCTCTTCCTAGGAAGTTTGAGCGATCTGCATGAAACTGGGTGAACATAATCTAGGGACCAATATCTAAAGTTCCCTCTTGGCAAAAGTTGGAAAACTTACTAAAACTGAGCTTCTATAAGGCAATGAATATTGCGGAGGGCGTGGCTCATCACATAAAGGTGTATAACATCTCAAGGGTTTCACCCATCACCACGCAACTTTGTAGGCATATGACCACACATAATCTGAGGGGACCCCTCCATTATTGACCCCATCAAACAAAATGGGGGCGCTAGAGAGCTCATTTCTTATCTAGGCCTAACCGCCATATGGATTTTTACTAAACTTGGTAGATATGTAGAACAGGACGCCTCAAGGTGACTCGAGAAATCTAACTCTATTTGGCAACTGGGTGGCGCTATAACAATAGAAAAATGCTTCAAAATGGCTAAAATGCGACCGATCGCTGTGGCTCCCCCTGTGGACCAATGTTTGTTTTTTTCTAATTTTTGGTGTGACTAAGTCATGGTATGGTATGCTGTACATAATCACGGAAACTGTCAGTGTGTCATTCTGTCAGTCAGTCATTCTGTCTGTCCCACATTTTTCTACTCACTTACGTGGTCAATCTATGTGAAACTGCACATAGGCATTGAGGATTGGCATAGGTAGAAGGTGACAAAGCTACCAATGGACTAGTATGTTATATTACTGAATTATAATTGTTTATAATGTTGTACCTGGTAAACGTGGGGATAATTTCAATAATTTTAAATACTGCTGGGATGGTAACCCTATATTACATTTTAATTTATAACTTGAGTTATATTTTATATTAATAACTTAAATCTGCAAAGTAACTCGTAGGCAAATGTAAACTGTCAAATAAGGGAGTAAAAAGTGCAACATTTGCCTCCAAAATGCAGAAGAAGTTTAAAGCAGCATTAAATGGAAAGACTCAGGTAAAATAGATTTTGAAACTAAAAAGAAAAGAGTTTGGGGTCAGTTTGACCAGAGTCACAAAATGTCCGCAAACATGTTTACATTGTTTGTAACCACACTCATGAGGTTTTTTCTGCCCACAAGTTCATGTTGTGCAACCACTGCAACTTCTTGTCCCACCACTCGGCTTATATCAGCACCAAAATGCATTGTGGGTGATCCAGGCCAAAACAGTCAGCTCTAAATACAGATGTGAATTAAGGCCAGTGTGTTGAGGGATTTCATCACTTGTAGAGTTAAATTTAGGGACACACATTAGCTCATCTGTAGCATGAATAACAAACTGCCTGAGCACGTTAGCTAAAATAAAGAACTGGTGGATATTAAAGCTAATACATAAATAGTTTCTCATATTACAGTAACAATCCACTCCTTAACTCCTTCAGAAATTATTATATGCACATTACTGACCTGTTAAATTAACACAGAATAGAAAAGAGCTCCAGTTGGTTCTTCTTTAACTAACCTGGTTTTATTGTGCACAGAGAGCCTGAGCTAAAACAACGAAACAGATTTAACACACAGATTTAACATTCAAATTAAGTTACATTAAAATGAATTATAATAATGATAAAGACAGTTTATTTTCTTGATGTGAACATCAGTGTTATTACTCAGAAATAGCGACTCTTTCTGTTGATGAGTAATGAGTTCCCATCAGAACACAGGTCATGTCAACAGTGAAGGCAAACACACCGTAAACCTCTGGACTCGTATTTATCAAACTGCTGAGGTGAAGGTTTGTACTTAGGTGACAGATTAAAGCAAAAAATACTTGGCTTTTACTCCTATTTGCAGACTTTAGTCGCAAAAACCTGCTGCAGGATTTGTGTCCTGCTCCGGTTTGGTTTTGGTTGTTGCCATTTCAGCCATTTTTAAAGATTTCTTCTTTTAAATTTAAAACATATCTCTCCGTAAACGCTGTGATAAAAGCTGGGGTGGGCAGTTTCTAGAAAAGCAACAACAAGAACAAACAGAATTTGAAAATACACCCTCTTCCTGCAGCTCTCTCCTCTCTGTCCTAACCATAGACTGTAACCCCCTTCCACCAGACGAGCACGGGCACATGCACACGCTCCATGCAGTAACCTTTATGAATACTAATCACTCATTTTGATTAGATTCAAATCGATCCAATTGTTTTATACAGCAGCTATTCTGTGAAAATCACCGTCCTGTGAGCCTGTGCAGCTCTTTGAAATTACAAACTGTGATTCGAGGCGCAAGCTAACATTAGCTACATAAGCTTGAATATGTGCGGCTGTGAGCCTTTGAGTCTGGTGTACGGCTGCAACGGTAGACCAGTTTTAAGGTATACCGTGATATCAAAATTACAGTTATCACACCGTGCTGATCTACGATATTGAAAATAAAGCAACTGGATGGAGAATCTCAGCTTTATTTTAGTTATTTTCAAAGGGGAGACAAATTATAGTAATAAAACTTGTGTTCGACCAAAAGAAACCCTTTCATTTTCATTTCTTTTAGGTGTCACTCTGATTGATGATAACATAAATTCTGTAATACCCTAATATCGTTCGTGATATCGTGAAACTGCAATACTTTCTGAGACGCTTATCGTACGGTGAAAATCTCATACTGTTGCAACCCTACTCTGGTTAGCAAAGGACTAAAGCATTAGCAACATTTTCTCTCCATCTTTGAAACACTGATATTACGCATCAGACTCTCTTTTCCAACCAAAACACGTGACACGTTCAGGGTGCAACACGTCAGCTGCAACCATTCCAATCAACTGAAGCTGCTACACTGACCACAGAAGCCAGGCTTGCCCACGCGGGCGCCACGGTGCTAAACGTTATACCTAAACACTGTTAGTATGACTAAACGTCATACCTAAAGCAGGTAAAACCTACATAGGAATGTGTAAAAAAAATGCAAACAATCTGTTTAAAAATTATAAGAATAAAAACCTCATAGTAAGAGATGAAACGTGACGGACCAGAGCAACCTTGTGGGTGATTTTACATCTCACATTTAAATAAATCAACCAAATCAGTGCATCCTGTAGTTAAAACAAACCAGGCATTTACTTTAGTGCCAGTTAATCTAGTGCCAAAAGTGTCCTGTCACTAGATTTTCTAAGGCCTGAAACAGAGCCAAGAGGAGGTGCAGACATCTAGTGTTCCCTGCCTACCTGAGCTTTAATCACCTGAGAGCTGCTCTTACATCTTACTTTTTGATAAACACGGGCCCAGGATGATGAAAATGTTAATATTTCTGAGTGTGTGTTCCTAAGTGGTATTTCAGGTGTGCACTCTGTAGAAACCCTCTGCCGCAAATGTCACAGCGGTGCGGCCTCTCTCCTGTGTGGCTTCTCATGTGCTTCCTCAGATGTCCGCTGTGGGTGAAACTTTTATGACAGAAGGAGCAGCAGAAAGGCTTCTCCCCCGTGTGGATCCTCATGTGTATCTTTAAATCTCCTTTGCGGCTACACTCCTTCCCACAAATGTGACAGCGATGCAGTTTCACCCCAGCGTGGCCGGCCATGTGTTCAGTCAGAGCGGTGGTGCTGTTGCAGAGTTTGCCACACACGTGACAACACTTTGAGCCCTTGTGTGATTTAAGGTGAATGTTAAGGCTTTCGGTGGACTCCAGATTCTTTCCGCACACCGCACAGAGGACGTCTGCGTCCTTTGTATGCATGCGAAAAGCATGATTTGTCAAGAACTGACTGGATGTAAAAAATTTATCACACAAACAGCAACGATAGTCAGGTCCAACTGAATTTAAATGAGACAACTCAGTGGATTCTCGGGAAGTGATAAAGGAACTCTGACTTTGTTCTGTCTGTGTTTGGTTTGACAATAAACTTGCAGCAGGTCTCTCGTTTTCCGTACCGTCTCGGACCCTTTCACTGTGAATCAGAGTTTGTGAAGACGGAGTTGAGGCGAGAGGTAGCATGAACTGTACAGTTTTAGTTTCCTCCTGAAACTGCTCCTCACTTTCACTGTTTTGAGTCTGAGGTTGCAAAGGCGGCTTTGTGTCCATCTGCTCGTTCTCCTCCCAGACAGAAGAATGAGGTAGGTACGAGACATCGGCGTCCTTGAACTCATGAACCCCGTGTTCTTCTTCTTGTTGCTGACTGGTCCAGACTTCATCATCCTCCTCTTTAATGTGTCGAGGCTCTGGGTCGCTCTGACAGTCGCTCAGCTGCTGCTCACAGTGTTGCTGCTCAGGGGGAGTTTCCTCTTTAGAGATGGAGGACTGGGAAAAGTCTAGAAAAAAAGAGTATATGATTTAAACCTCTTTATCACCAAAGCAGTGATTAAGTTGTTTATGCTGCCACCTAACTAGAAGTCAGCAATATTAGCAATAAGTCTGTTAGGGCTACAGCTAATAATTGTTTTGATTATCCTTAATCTGCTCATTACTTTGTAAAAACATGTCAGGAAATAATGAAAATTGCCCGATTTATTTCCCACAGCTGAAGGTGACAGCTTTAAGTCTCCTGGTTTATTTGGCTAGCTATCTAAATCCAAAGTAGTCACTTTGGTATCATGTACGACAGAGAAAAGCATCAAATCCACACATCTGAGAAGCTGGAAGCAGCAAATGTGAAATGACCAAGGACTATTTAAACCTCAAAAAAGATGTCGATTAGCCTGATTTTCTGTTGATCTGCTAACTGATTTGTCGACTAGTTGCTGCACCTCAAAGTAGTCAAGCTCTCGGGGTAAAATACTGAACTCATGTTAATTATCTTGTGGGAACAAGTAATTAACATGTACACAAAGATAATGAAACGTGCCCACATGATGATGGCTTGTATCCCCTGGATAATGACTTGCTCATGCAAGATAATAACTAGTGCACACAAGCTACTGACTAATACTCACTAGATAATGACTTGTTCCCTCAAGGTAATTAACTTGTGTGCATGAGATAATTACTCATTCCCAAAAGATAATGACCTGAAGTTGTTCCCACAGGATAATAACTTGGGCTTTCCAGATAATTACTTGTTCCCACAAAATGACTTGTTATCACAAGATGACTTGTTACCACAAGATATTTTGTGTGCACAAGATAATTATTCGTACCCACTAGATAATGATTGTTCCTGCAAGATAATTAACTCATGCATGCAAGATAATGACTTGTTCCAAAAAGATAATTAACTTGTATGCACAAGCTCATTACTTGTTCCCATAAAGTGACCTGTTCCCACAAGATAATGACTTGTGCCTACCCCCAAAACTACTTGCTTATTTTTTATTTTATGTACACATTAATTATCTTGCGCACAATATAATTACGCGTTCCCACTAAATGACTTCTTCCCACAAGGTACTTAACTTGTGCACACAAGGTAATGACTTGTTCCCACAAGATAACTAACTTGTGCGCACAAGATAACTACTCGTTCCCACAAAGTGACTTGTTCCCACAAGATAATGACTTGTGCCTATCCCCTAAGCTATTTGCCTTTTGGGGCTCCGTATGATTTCTTGTATTCTATCTTGAATTTTCATTTTAATAGATTTGTATTTATACAATCAAATGATGCATCAATTGGTAAAAACATTTGAATTATATATAAAAACAAAGACAAGCTTCAGCACAAACATGAAGAGTAAACACCGTTATTGATGACAAACAAGCCACAACGTTTAACGGTAACCGTACAGAAAATAAAGACACAAGTGAGACGACACTTTGTCAGACTATTAAGATAATTGTTTTAGTCTAGTCCGACACTGACAGATGTAAAATTGAATAAACAAATAAACAGACCTGTCTTGTTGTTTGACACAAAGTCGAGCAGCAGACCTCTGAGCCGCTCAATCTCCTGTTTGGAGCTGGACGCCTCTTCTTCATATCTTTCTATTGTTCGCTCAAACACCTGAAATATTTCCTCGGCAGCAGCCGTCAGCCGCTCGTTGATGAAAGCCCTGAGGAGCAGCGGAGCCGACATTTTACAGATATCTGTTTAAGATGAAGGTGAATGACACCGAGGGCAGGTTTCACTGAGGCGACTTCCTGTCGCGTTAGCTTACATGCTACGGAAGTAACAATACAAACAAACCACAGAGCAAGAGTGTTGACGGATCACTGCTGCCCCCCGCAGGACAACAGCGTCATTACATCTACTTTAACGGTGGTCGAAGTGGAGAAGTGCAACTGTGTTTGAGTACAAATTTTAAGTGTTTATACTATAGTTAGGTCTTAAAAACTTATGCTACTTTATAGTTCTACTTGACTAAATTTCAGAGGGAAATATTACACTTTTTAATCCACTACATTTATTTGACAGATGAACATTTTAAAAACGAAACCTGTGATGAGTATATACTGATCAGCCCAAACATTCAAACCACTGACAGGTGAAGTGAATAACTTTGATTATTTTGTTCCAATGCATTGTTCTGACAGGAAACCTTTGGTTCTGGCATTCATGTGGATACAACCCGACATGCTCCACCCACTCAAACACCGTTGCAGACCAAGTACCCCCCCTCATGGCAACAGCACTCCTCAATGGCAGTGGCCCCCCAGCAGGATAATGCACCATGCCACACTGCAAACATGGCTCAGGAATGGCTCAAGGAATGTGACAAAGACCTCAAAGTGTCAACCTGGCCGCCAAATTCCCCAGATCCCAATCTGAATGAGCATCTGTGGCACGTGTCATTAACCCACCTCACAACCCACTGGACTAAATGGATCTGCCGCCAACGCACTGGTGCCAGACACCGCAGGACACTCCCAGAGATCCTGTGTCCATGCCTCTTCAGGTCAGATCAAAGTATGATCCAAAGAGGCCCCACTTTGGATTAGGGATACATCTGGGGTACCGGCACATCACAAGAATCCTTGAGCACATTGGGACCCGGGAAATTTCAAAGCCAGGTTGATACCTTGAGGTTGAAAACTGAGGTTATTGTCTTTGGATATGCAGAATGTTCTACTTACTCTTTTCATAATTTGAACGCCCTCACCACAAATATCAGCGGGTCGATCAAAAGCCTTGGTGTGACTCTGGACACTGATCTAAATCTTAAAAGACAAATTGGCACGGTTGTGAAAGGTTCTTTTCATCAGCTTCAATTGCTAGCTAAAGTTAAGCCCTATTTGTCTTCCAAGGATTTGGAGAGGGTCATTCATGCCTTCATATCATCAAGACTTGATTACTGTAATTCTCTTTATGTTGGTTTAGATCAGTGCTCCCTTCGTCGCCTGCAGCTAGTCCAAAATGCAGTGGCTCGCCTCCTGACTGGCACCAAGAAGCGGGACCATATTACACCTGTTCTGATGTCCTTACACTGGCTTCCTGTTCATTTTAGAATACATTTCAAAATTCTGTTGTTTGTTTTTAAAATCTTACATGGATTGGCCCCTCAGTATCTGGCAGAGCTGTTAAAAACTCACAATCCAGTCAGAGCCCTTAGGTCTTCAGGTGATCTGCTGCTTGAAGTGCCCAGATCAAGGCTTAAAACTAAAGGCGACCGAGCATTTTCAGTGGCTGCTCCCAAGCTCTGGAATAGCTTGCCATTGCATGTTAGACATGCAGAATCCCTGGGAAGATTTAAATCATCGTTAAAAACTCACCTTTTCTCATTAGCTTTTGAACCCGTTGTGAGCCAGACTTGACTCTGTGCAATATATGTATGCTCTGTCTCAGGTTTTTTTTTTTTTTTATGTGTAATTGATGTTGTTTCTAACTGTTTGTCTGTTTTTATATTTGTTTCTGTTTTTGTTTTTTTGTATTTTGTATCTGTTTTTATATTTTGGTATTTATCATTCTATTTATGTGGTATTGTAATTTTCACAGTGTTCTTGTAAAGCACTTTGGTGACTTCTGTCTTTTTAAATGTGCTATAGAAATAAATGTGACCTAAAATGTGACCTTGACCTTGAGCTTTTTGTCACACTCCACAGGCCATTTCTAAACAGTTTTTGCAGTGTGGCATGCTGCTCTTTTTCTGCTGGGGGGTCTGCAACGGTGTTTGAGTGGGTGGAACATGTCAGGTTATATCCACATGAATGCCAGAACCAAAGGTTTCCCAGCAGAACAATGCATTGGAACAAAATAATCAAAGTTATTCACTTCACCTGTCAGTGGGTTTAATGTTTTGGCTGATCGGTGTATATGATGCTAAACTACCCAAAATACACAAAGTATTCAATTTTTACTCCAAGACAACCAGCTACAACATTAAAGAACTGTTCAGATGTTACTGCATTGGTAATAATGTTCAGTATTTAATAATAAAACACTGACAGGGCCCGTTCTGACAAACCTTTGATACTTTGAGTACACTTTAATGATAATACGTTCATTTATAAATGCAGGACTTTTACTTGTAATTGAGTATTTTCAACGTGAGGTATCACTATTTTTATTCAGACTCAGTGAATGATTTGAGTACATCTCCCACCCCTGAGCACATGTGCTTTTTTAGGAGGGCAGCCAAAATAAAATTGGGAAATCCGGGGTAAATATGGAATCTCAGCTGTTAGACAACAACAAATTAAACAACTGTTGCCAACTACCTGATAAACAAACTGAGGAAATAATAAGAGATTTATCAGAGATGGAAGGAAGAAAATAAATAAGTGATGTCAAAGCAAACATGGTGCTAACATTTCCTTTGACAATTCTAGGCCAACCAGATGAGGAGTGAGCAAACACCCAGCGTTGAGGCAGCTTGCAGGTGCTGCAGTAATCCGTTTCAACTGATATGACTATGATTTGTAAATGACACACTGTTTTCATAAAATGATTTTGAAACACCTGAAGGAATAACAACAGTGTTTCAATAAGAGGAGCCTGAGTCGTGACCTGTGCCCACTGCTCCCAGTGTTCCCACTGCTCCGTCTTGCTCAGTCTCTTGACCATCTGTCACACACTGAGCTCAAAGGAGATAAAAGAACAGTCATGATGTGAGCTGTACCTGGCACTGTGCATCTCCATCTGCAGCAGGAACAAACAAGAACAAGTCTGCAAAAAGAGAAAGAAAATAAGTTTGAGGATGACTGAGAGTTAATAGATTATCCATAGGCGGAGATGCCGGGGGGGATGGGGGGGGCCGGGCTACTGCATTCACACTGAAGATTCAACCGGTAATGAAGTGAACAAAACGCTGTCTGGTTACAACTGGTAACGTGTTTATTCTGTTGAAAAGTAGAAGTAAATAAAGGTGTCCGACATGTCTCTTGTTTTAAGTGAACTTTTGCAAAGTAGTTAGCTCAGTTTCCTCTACTCTGACCCACAGTCAGTCCTGCTGAGTGCTGCGTGTGCCGGTGTATGCAGACACTAGTTGAGCCCTGAAATATGATTCAGACTTCAGGCTTGGAGTTTTAAAGGAATTAAACAGATTTGATTGAAGGTACACATAACATCTCAAAAACATAAAGAAGTGCAGTACTGCAGATGTTGACCTGCAGAGTTTAACTCCATCGTTATCACAAACTCATGCTCTGCAGCCAGACATTGTTCAAACCCACAGAACTTTATTTTAAATTCTAGTGGGGATCCCAAAGTTTCCAAAGACACCAAACATCATGTCAGGATACATTTTCAGGACATGTGATCATATTTTTTTCAACCTGAAAACGACTGGAAATAAAAGTGTAAAAACTGCATGAAAATGGGGTGAAATGAAACACGATGACCGATGTGTTGAGGGTGTTTGTGTGTGTATTGTGCGTACGTAGCCTAAAACATTCACTTAGTCTTCACCAGATGTCAAGGTAGGACTCTGCCCTAAAAGTACAGTCAATGGGCTAAACTTTAAGAGAAGGAAGGAGGAAAAGGAAAGAAAAGAAAGACAAAAACGTGCAGATTTTCAGGTTGTAAAAGGGGATTCAGTGAAACGTTGGCAGTGTGAGCACATAAAGGGATAAACATTCATTGTAACACAGACAAAGAGAAAGAAAATGTGCTGTCCTGTTAGGAAACAAGGAGATACAGAGAGCAGACAGAGAGATGAATGAGTGAATCATCCTGGCAGACAGAGCGCAGGTACACACAATCTCAAGACACGATGAGCATCAAGTTAACAGATCTTAAAAAAACAAACAACATCTCCTTGAATTAATCTCCTGAGAAAAATCATGTTGTGTTTAGGTCACCAGAAAAAAGGTGGATTTTCAAAGTTACAGATCAACATTTTGACTAAATGCTTCCCAACTGTTTTAAATACTGAATGCAAAATGTCTCCTATCAAACCCATCCATGTTTATACTTAATTATGTGTTGGAATAAAACCCCACAAATAAAACCTGTAACTAATTTGTCGCCTCTGGAAAACAGGTTGATTTTCTCTCATGTGACGTATAAAACAAAAAGACAACACATCTGCAAATAGTTATTGTTGTAATATGAAATTAGAATAGAAGTTTATATGACAGCTGTGTGGCTACGAAACATCTGAGACAACCTTTCAACCTAAATCTCCGCCTCTGATCACGTTGTTCATTAAAGGAGCGTTCTACAATTTTAACTCATCACAAGGAGCCTGTGAACATTCAAATGCCTTCTGAGGCTCTGGAGGAGTTTTCCAAAGTCTGGTCTAATGTCACATTTATGTCATATCAAAGTTATTGTAATTATTTCTGGCTTGTAAATAATGTTCACGTCAACAGTTCTGACCTCCAGTGTGATGCCTCATCATGCAGAAGTGTTAAATTGTAAATGAACAGTATTTTTATGCTGTTTACGCATCATTGTCTTAAGTTATCGGAAAACGTGAATGCTCACAAGTCCCTAACATTGGCATTTTTTTCCATCTCTTCCATCCCTCTCATACGGCATGAACATGGAAGACACAAATGAGTAGCATTATGGGAAATGTAGGCTCCAGTGCTAAAGGAGCTTGACCCCAAACTAGGGATCAAGGGTCTCATTCATAAAACAGGGCAAAGGATCCACACTGAAAATGTATGTACAGACAAAAGGCAAAAAATAATTTAGAGTTTCTACAATCAGGCTTCCACCTCACCGTCTGCATCACTAATTTCCTGTCTCCAAAATATTTGTAAGCATGGGTCAAAGTTT